GTCAGTGCCTCAGGTAGCACCAGCTGTAGGCATCAGCGGAGAGCCAATGTTTATATCTCTGGCTCCATGCATCTCCTTTGGGTCCCATTAGCCCCTTTGATGACAGTAGTAACATCATTTGTCTGGGTGTGATGTTGGACTGTGTGAGACCTGTCATGTGAACTTGAGGTTCCTACACAAAAATAAATAAATAAATAAATAAATAAATAAATAAATAAATAAAAATAATAAAAGCAGAACAGTCTTTAGGTCTTTAGGAAGGTGTTCATGTTTGATCTTTTCAAAATTCAGTGCTGTGGAACAGAGGACCCCCACACCCTAGTGACTAGAAACAGCTTTGTCTGCTGAGAAGCCAATGGGTCAGGGATAAAGGCAGTGCTCAGCCGGGTAGGTCTTCTGCTTCACCTGAGGCTGAATATAGCAAGCACTCAGGTCATTCACATCTTGCTGAGTAGGACCTCCTTCCAACCTTGGTTTTTCATGGAACCTTTCTGTTTCCTCTTGGACAGCCTGGGCATTCTCATGGCACCAAGCCCCAGGGAGTTCAGGCATTTTAAATATATAACCACTGGCTTCCAAGAAGGAGCCCAGAACATAGGGCCGGGAAGTTCATGTGACATGCCTTTTACCATAAGGTAAATAAGATAAGCCATAAAGATGCCTAGGCTCAGGGGCAGAGAGATAATATCATCCACTAGTGGACAGGACCGCAAATACTTCACAGTCAAATGTCATCCAGTCCAGGAAGTGATCTCTTTCCAGGTGCCACTAAGAGGACCCAGGAAATGAGGGGTAGGTTTTACCCAGTACCACTGCTTTTAGGATGGGTTTGCTAAACAAATGAATGCTAAGGATGGAACAGAGATAAATTCAGCCCAACTGAGACAATGTGATTTTGTGGTCTGGAAAAGGCACTGGAACTTGGGCTGGTTACACTCCTTGTGGCTGTAGAATCCTAGGAACATATTTGGGGTGCTTAGGTCAGAGAGAAGATGCCTTATAAGTCAATTAGAGCAGCCTGTGGGATGGGTAACAATTCCCTACCCAGACAGACACACACACACACACACACACACACACACCAAACAGGAAGACAGCTTGAGGACCAGCTGTGGAATCTATGGACTGCCTTTCTGGGCCTGGCTACAGGTACCACTCAGCATTCAATATCACTGTTTCTCCTACTTCCAAACTGTTCCCCAGAACAGGGAATCTCTGGGCATCATTCCACTGGCTGGAAGAAAAAGAACTGCCTGCTGAGCAAAAGGCTGGGATAGAGACCAGAGTTCCGGGGAAGGAAGGGCATGTGCAAACGTCCTGAAAAAGATAGAGAAGAGCTTGGGTTGACGCCATGATTTCCGTGTGCCTGGGGTCCCAGGGTATAGAGCAGAGTGGTAGGAGAGACAGCCACAAGGCTTGGGAATAAGGAACATACAGGCCGTGACCTTGTGCTTAAGGAGAGCAGCTCCAGAGGCCGCTACAGGCAAGAGCGGAGCTGTAGAACCAACCCTTCTTGCTTTCTCAACACTCTGCTCTCCTTGCATTTGACTGTCCATTCCTTCTCTGCAAGGTCACAAGGCCCTTCCTCAGGAGCTGTTCACTAAAGCCTTCCTGCTCCAGAGTTTGAGATCTAACGCCACGTTGTGTGTGCCTCCTGCATAGCATGGGCAGGCTTCCATTGTAGGACAGTACTTGCCCAACTTGCTGTTCCTGTCAGGTAGAACACAGGACTTCCCTCCCCCCCTAAAACTCAGGATTCTCAGGTAACAAACGCAGGAATGCAGACAGCCTCTTGCAGAAGGCTTCTCTTCTCTGGGTCTTCAGGGAAGGCTCTAGTTGAAGGGAATGAACCCTCTGCGGTGGGGCCAGGGCTGTGTCTTTCACTGAGTCCAGACTTGGCAGCTTCTATTCTTCTCTGGAGGAAGAAGAGATGTCTGGTTAGGGTGTGACTTTGGCATCGTCGGAAAAGCAAAGGGGCTTACCAGACACCTCAGCAGATAGAGATACTTGCACATACAAGCCTGGAGACCCACGTTTGATCCCTGGACCCCTTATAAAAGTGGAGAGATAACCAGTTCCACATGGTTGTCCTCTGACCCCTCTCCCCTGTACACAAATCAACCAATCAATCAACCAACCAATCAACCAATCGATCAATCCATTGATTTAAAACTGAGATGAGCAGAGGGCCAGGTGAACTCCTCAAACCTGGAAACTCCTTTTTCACCCAAAGCCTCAGGATAAGGTCTAAGATCACCTGAGGGTGCAAGAGCCGCCCCACCCTGGGGCTGAGTTATCAAACCAGTCCCCAAGTGCTTATCCTGAGCTGACAGTTCTCTTGAACTGAGAGCTCCTTTACAGCTCCCTGCCTCTCCCAATCGTCCTGAGCTAAGGGACTTGGAGGGAGCTTATGGTTCCTTCCTTTGCTCAAGGACCCACTTTTGGAGGACTCCGGGGCCACACTTTGAAAAAAGCTCATGGGGCAAGAATCTACTAGATGCTTCAGGATCCCAGCTGCCACTGATGCTTCATGGCCACGGATACAGTAAGATCTAGGCATCTGACTGGATGCTGGGAAGAGTAGATGCCCCTAGGACCTCATCCCACCACTCTCAATTCATCCTGGCCTAGGAAGCCCTCCAATGGTAGAGATGGGCTGTAGGGCCATTGCAGCCCAGAGCTAGCCTGGACTCCTGGGCAGATGGCTTGTTATTCCTCATGCTTGACCCCACCCTCCTGACCACTCACTGCATTTTGGAGCCGTTCTGCTTGTCTCTTCATGTTTTGCTGCCTCTGCTGGATGTCATCTCTTTACCAGCCCTGACCTGACACACTGTGAGTAAAAATGACACTAGTCTCCACATGTTGGGACCTCACAGATAACAAATGAGAAACCCAAAACTTTAGTATTGCAGAGGTGACATAAAAGTTTATCCTGTTCCTTCACGAAGGCTTTAGGAAGAGAGCAACCACACTGTTCAGCAGGGCTGGTAGCTGAGCCCAGTCTATTCACCCCATGACCATGGTCCATGGCACTTTGAAGAAATGTAAAGGTCATTTCCGTCTTTCTATTTCTCAGAAGGAATCACCTGGCTTCTGCACAGGGACAATGGAAATAGTTTAGGGGCTCAAAACCCTCCTTCGGGTAGGCGTGGTGGAACATGACTATAATACCAATACTCAAGAAGCTGAAACAGGAGAATTTCCAAGATTACTAGGTTTGCCTGGACTACACTGTATCATGCTGGATAGGACTATATATACATAGCAAGACCTTGTCTCAAAAGGCGAAAGGGTAGGAGTCAAATGTTCTCAAACAGCCAGACCCAACACATGCTTCAGAAATGCCCAGAGGTCTCTTGAAATTGCTTAAAAGGATCACACCCCAAACAGCCTGCAAGTGTCGCAGCAGCTACCTTTGCACATTTGGAGGTAAGAAAAGGTGTGACTCGCCTTGAGTAAACCGGTGAAGGCATGACTCACACTCACTGGGTACTTAATGACATCATGCTAGCCTCCACTTGAAGCACTTGAAGAATCTGAGTTTCCTGAGCCCTCATGACAACCCTGTGAGATGGGGGAGGGGGGTGGTGAATTATCACTCACGGTTTAGATATGAGGAAATCAAAGTACAGTAACAAAAAAGTACAGTTACCCAATGGGGAATCCTAGGATTCTGCCCTAGCACTGCTGGAACCAAGGGAGAATGACACCCCATGAACCTGTGGGGACCAGCACACTGACATGAGAACACCTCATGTTTTCATGACAATTTACCAATGAGCTAAAGGTGCCTGAATTACAACTGAGGACCAAATCAGGAAGAGTGGGATACGGCAAAGCTTAAGTGAAGTCCTGTATCTCAAAGATGGCAGAGACTGTCTGACTCCAAACCCTGACCTCTGTCCTAGCACGTCAGAGGCCGATGCCAGGAACCAAAGGGCAGCCAGTATGTGCTAACAGTGGGGACATGGTGTGTGTCCCAAGAGAGAGAAATGACAAGTGCCAGGAAAAACATGGCTCTAATCTTGGGGCAAGGAGTAGGGCCTGCCTGACATCTGAGTTAACAGCTTCTTTGGTTTTTGTATCTCCTTGTGTCTGCTAAGAGAAGAAACACTCTCCTTTCAGGGAAAGAGTTGAGCAGTGGGGCAAACATCAGTGGGACAGAGTTCCTGTCTTGTCCTGGTGTTCACGTGCTGGACCCTAGCTGCTGGCCCAGTGCTGTGCTTGACCTAACCCCCCTCCCCCACACTCCACATCTCGTCTCTGGACCCCATCCCTGTCCTGAGACTTGGTGCATACCTTCCACTTCTATCAAGGATCCCTGAACCCAGAAGTGTAAGACAAAGTCTGAATGGTCATCCTGAAACACGTAGGGTGGTCTTTCTCCATGGCTCTTCCCCGAAACGGCCTGAGCAACAGCGGCCCCAGAAGGTCGGCTTCATGCAGATGTTTGCCAACTCCTGAAGAGAAGAAGTCTAATTCCTGAGTTAAAGATTTGAGTTCCTGGACCAGGAGGCTAGGTCTACCTCCACCCTTGTGCTAGATGTACTAGCTTTAGGGTCCCACATGTAACATCTCGGGAGTTCAAGTCTCAGGAATCACAGAGTTTAGGGCTGGAACCTAGAGGTCCTGTGTAGGTTCTCACACTCATTCGATAGCATCTGGCCTACGAGAACTAGTTCTCTCTAGTTGTTCTCTATTCCTCACAGTGACACTCTGAAAGTGTTCCCTCTTGATGCACAAAGGCAGCTGTGCCTTTGGTCTACTGTGATCCTTTGAGGTGAAAGTCCCAGCTGAAGCCCAGAAAAGGGTTCCATTCACAAAGCACATGGGAGGCTAGGTGGAGACCAGATCCTCTCAAGGTCTTTCCCAGGAAAATCTCCACACATTATGCAAACACAAAGAGGCAAACAAACTATCCCAGATTCCCCTGGGGGCGGTTAGAAGAGTGTTGTCCTGTGGGTTTGGGGGAGGTAGGCTCAGTTCCGGTGAGGAATCTATGTCATACCCATGGTTTGCTTCGTTAATTATTAGTTGATCTGGAGTGGGGCATCAGACGGCTCTATTTTCCCAAGCACCACAAGCCACTCTGTAGTTCAGCTAGCCACCAGGGCCACTCCAGGAGGAACTGTTCGGTGAGTAACCCAAAGAAAGGGGGTTCGGAACATTGTCAAAAGAGGGTGACTCACCATCCTCATTAGCCCTAGATCAAAAGCTCTTCCTGGGTCTAACTGACTTTAGAGCTAAATCTAGAGGGGTGTCTGCGGCCAACTGGACATCTGGTCACCCTCCCTAAGTGTTAGAAATGCTGAGACTAGATTGAAACCCTGGTGTACCTGTGTTCAATGCTCTCGCTCTCCTGCTAGGACACTGGACTCAAGCCCTTCAAGCTTCCACACAGCTAGCTCAGGGTAGCGTTTGCTGAATCCAAATCTTCCAGTGCTCCAGGAGGGTGTTGACATGCCGGAGGTTGGAGGTTGGGGGGGGGGTCATTCTGGGTAATTCACTTAAAGCCACAGAAAAGTGTGTGGTATTGGGATTGGGTTTCAGAAGATATTTAGGGACAGGAGAGTCTGGGAAGCCATGTGTGTTACCAAATCCTCTCTCCCACAAAGTAAAACCTGCCAGAGCTACTGTTCTGGTTGTGTCCAAAGTCAGCAAAGGACAGTCCAAGTGTCAAATGTGGCCCACTCTCCAAGTGACAAATATAAGATATAGAATACCAGCACAGAGGTTATTATTTGAGAACAGAAGTTAAATATACATGCATGAATTATAAATCACTGAACCATGTCACCGAATGCAGTGATCCGATACTGTCATCCCTGCTACGCAGGAGACTGAAACAGAAAGCCATCTTCAGTGCCTCCTGGTGCTAAAGAGTTAGCTCCCTAGACAATTGAGTGAGATGGTTTCTCAAAACAAGTGGAAAGCCAGGTCGATCTTTGATTAAACCTTTCACCCTGTGTTCTCACACTGTGCTAACAAATGTACCATTAAAGTCAAGAGTACGAGGACTGGGGAGATGACTCAGTAGCCAAGGGCATTAATTGTTCTTGCAGAGGACCTGGGTTCCATTCCTAGCACCCATACCAGGTAACCCACCTGTAACTCTAGTTCTGGGTCATACAACACCCTTTGGCCTCTTACGTGCACAGAAGCTCATGTTGGTGCACACACATGCACATACACAGACATTTTTTTAAGTGAAGAAATGGCTGGGATACTAGAGGTAAAACTTAGTAGCATTTGCATAGGATGCATGAGGCCCGGAGCTCATTTCCCAGCACAAGAGAGAAGAAAAAAAGAAGATAGACAATGTTTTGTGACACTCTGGGATTATTTGAATTTTAGGCTGCAGGGCCCATGCCTAGAGTTTTGTTAAAAATGCTTGCCTTGTCCACAATTGCTTCCCAATGTCCAGGGCAGTGTGAGTCATGGCAAAAGAGACTGGCATGCAAAGCTTGGGATGGCATCATCCGGTCCTTTGTCAGAAGTTTTTCATCCCTAGTCTGAGGGAGAGATATGGAGACAAGAGTAAGAATCCTTGTGTGTAGTGGGGTATGGGGGCTTGGAGGAGTGGTCCGAAGAGAAATTCTCAGGATATGACAGGGGAAGTGGGGGGCATAGAAGACCAGAGAGATGGTCACAGGGTGGTCACGAAGAACCTAACAGTGATAGGACCATTGGATGGGACAAGGGTAGATTCAGTGCAGAAAATTGAACAGGCTTTCTTGGGCATGTCAAGTCCATTGTGAGAAGGGAATTGGTGTCACTATTGTAACTGTAGGTAAAGCCATTCATTGCCATTGCTTTCCTCTTCTGGATGGGGCAGTGATAGAAAGACCAGATCTTCCTTCCATGACCTGGGAGAGAAGCCCAGGAAAGTGAAGGAGGGTGGAGTGTAGACTGGACAGCCAGGGAAAATGGCAAAAGTGATGCTCATACCTTCCCTGTACTGTCTCTGGATGACTGAGATGAGGCACAGGGAAAGGGTACTGTGGAGAAAACAGCTATGTCACCAAGTAGTAACACTGTCACCACACACGTGGAGGGTACTGGCATTCACTTGCCTCCAACTGGCAGAACGGAGGCCACGACTCTATCCCGACTGTGTGAAAAGCCAATACACACGGCCAGGAAGAAGAGGAGAGCAGAGGGCCTTTATTAGGAAATAACAAATGTATAATTCCCAAACACACTGGAGACATGTAGGCATCTTATTACCCGAAAGACTTGTTATGTAGAAGGGATCATATGTTGCGTGTTCAAAGACGCCTCACAGAGAAATCTTTGGATACAGAACTTAGCTCTATTGTGTGGTTTATCCTAGGTCTGTAGAAGAAGGAATGGGAAGCTCTGATTGGCTTAAACCAGCCCCTTGATAGCTTTCTTAGGAGACCCTCATTTGAAATAAGCAAACAAGCACAGCAATTTATGTGGATATTAGCCTCTTCCTTTGCTAGGCCATCCTCCCACAAACATAGGTGTTACCCCTAAAACTCCCTACCTAGTAATTGGATCTCCCCACTCCTGGGGCCATGCCTGTGGCTCTGGCCTGGCAGGGCTCCTACCTATTGCTTGAGTGTCCTTAAGGTTGGCGGGGGGTGTCCTTTTCTCTACAGATCTGAAACACTCAGCATGCGCCACACTCACTGTCTGCTGTTTCTCCTGGCTGGATTCTTGGGGCTCTCTCACAGTCAGCCAGGCCACGAGTCTGCCAGCACATCCAACCAAACCCATAAGGAAGTCTCACAACGGAACATCTCCGGCTACCAGATTGCCTCCGACAATGCTGACTTTGCCTTCCGTCTCTACCACCTGATAGCATCCCAAAACTCCGAGAAGAACATTTTCTTCTCCCCTCTCAGCATCTCCGTCTCCTTGGCTATGCTGTCCATAGGGGCTGTCGGGGACACCCAGACTCAGATCCTTGAAGGCCTGGGCTTCAACCTCACGAAGCTGTCACAGCTTGAAATCCATGAGGGCTTCAGGTCCCTGCAGCACACGATAGCTCGCCCATTCAGTGAGCTGCATGTCTCTGTAGGCAATGTGCTGATCCTGAGCCAGGGCCTACAGCTCCTCCCTGAGTTTGCCAGCGCCACCGAAACCTCCTATAACAGCAAAGTCTTGCACGCTAACTTCAGAGACAAGGAGGCTGCGGTCCAGCTCATCAATAACTATGTCCAGGAGAAAACTCAGGGGAAGATCAGAAATTTGGTCAGTAACCTGAGCCCGGACGTAAGGATGGTGTTGGTGAATTATATCTTCTTCCGAGGTGAGCCGACAAGGTGCCAGCCCCCTCACTGCTGAGCATACACTACTGGGAGGTAGACTAGAAGAGGACCCAGGTATCTCTAGATCTTTTTATGGCCCCTTCTTTGTGTGAAGACCTCCAGGGCTCAATGGAATTGAGCCCACATTTTAGACTCAGCTTTTAATGTTTATTGTGGAGGAGAGAAGCTCTTGTCACAGCACACAGGTGGAGGTCAGAGGACAACTGGTGGGAGCTGGCTCTCTCCTTCATCATATGTGTCCTGAAGACCAAACTCAAGTCATGAAACTTGGTAGCAGTGTTTCTGCCCCATAAGTCACCTCAACGACTCCAGGTCCCAGCTCTGACTCAGGGTTCTCAGAGAGCAAAATGAAATCATGCCCAGACAATAATCCTGGCAAACTCTTCACCACACCTACACATCACATGTGACATGCACTCAAAACCAACTTTCTTTTAAAGATTCACTTTCTATATGCTGTTTATTTATTTAGTTGTACGTGTGGGTACAGACTTTCTGGGCATGTGTTTAAGGACAGGTGCTGGCCACAGCCAGAGGTATCAGATCACCTAGAGCTGGAGTTACATCTGGTTGTGAGTCACCAAGTAGGTGTTGAAAATCAGTCCTCTGGAAAAGCAACTGGTGTTCTTAACGGCTGAGCCGTCTCTCTAGCCAAGTGGTTCTCAACCTTCCCAATGCTGCAACACTTTAATACAGTTCTTCATGTTGTAGTGACCCCCAACCATAAAATTATTCCGTTGCTACTTCATAACTGTAATTCTGCTACTGTTATGAATTGGGCTGTAAATATCTCATATAGATGATCTATGTGACTCCAAGAGGGTCACACCCCACAGGTTGAGAACCCCTGCTCTAGTACCTCCAGTGCACTGCCATGAATATCTCAGTCCATCTTCCCCTCCTTCCACCTCCTCGCTGTCTCCCTATGCTCTCACGTCCCTCCTTCCCATGGCTTAGATTTCAGTAGCGGTTGCAACAACTATCTGTTTGCAGACACCTATAACCTAGCTGCTTGCACTTCTCAGAAAAACGACCTGGCAAAGCTGTATGCCCACATAAACCCAGCGGCCCAGATAATTCACCCCTGACCCTGCAGCTGGGTGTGGCTGGAAGAAATGACCCAAGTGGACGTGGTCTCTCCTAATGTTCGTGTATGTGAATGTCCACGGTCACTGCCCAAGCCCACATCTTTCACATAATGCTTCACACTCCAGGCTAGCAACATCCCCTCAACACCCCTCCTGTTGCAGTAAATCTCCAATCCAGTTAGGACCGGTCAAAGAAAACACAACTCAATAATTATGAATTTATGGTGCACGCCTAGATTAGGCAGATTCACTACACTACTCTATTCCCCAGCTATGAGACCCTTATAACTTGAGAGTTTTCCAGACCCTGCATTTGTCCTTCCTCCGTCATCTTCCTCCTCTGTCGTCTTCTCCTCCTCCATCCTCTCTCTCTCTCTTCTCTCTCTTTCCACCAACCTTTACTTCTCCACCTCCCCTTCTCTGCCCAATCACTGGCTCCAGCCTTTATTTTATAAATTAAGGTGGGCAGAAGGTTCACTAGAAATCACCTGTGTAATGACTCACACCTCCTTTGCAGCCCTTCCCCTGAAAAGGGAATTAACATCAAAATACAAGGCCTGGGCTATCCACAACATCCTCCCCCTTTCCTCTTGGCTCCCCTCCCCCTCTCTAGTTCTGCTTAGTGAGCTTGCTTCCCAGTCACTGAGAAAGCAGACTCTGTTATACAAAACTCTCTTTTTGTATCATCTCTCCACCTTCCCTTGCCCCTGAGTTTGGAGCATGAACCCAAGCTCCTCCTCTCTGGATGGCAGGAGGGACATCGGCTCTGCCCTTTTCTCTGTCCCGATCGTGGATGCTGATTATACACTGAGATCTGAAAGTGAGCCAAGTCCCATAATGCACTGCAGATCTTCACAAGGAGATGGGATGATGGACAGATGGGAAGGTTTCTGAGGGTCCCAGCTTGTCCCTGCCTGCCTCTCAACTTCTTGTTGCTGGAATTGAATGCTTGCCATAGACAGCTTCAGTGAAGGAAGGACTTTTATTGATCATTGTTTCAGAGCATCACAGCGCGGGGGGTGGGGGGGGAGAGAGAGAGAGAGAGAGAGAGAGAGAGAGAGAGAGAGAGAGAGAGAGAGACAGAATATGACACAGCAGGTCCCTGTCATAGTAGGCAGAAAGCAGAGCAGAATAGGAACAAAAGGGAACCAGAGCAAGACATGGCCCCTAAGGACATGTCCCCAGTGTCCTTCCTCTCTGCTTCTCCAGAGTGGGGCCTGTAGTACAACAGGTTTTGAATCCATCAGTGACTAAACCCTTCATTAGGTAAGAGTCCTCAAGATACAATTGTTTTAGAAAGGCCCTAATAGATCTGCCCAGTGGTATGTGCACTATCCTAGAGCAGTGGTTCCCAACCTTTCTAATGCTGTGACCCTTTAACACAGTCCCTCATGTCGTGGTGACCCCAACCATAAAATTATTTCTGCTGTTACTTCATAACTGTAATTTTACTACTATTATGAATCATAATGTAAATGTTTTTTGGAGATAGAAATTTCCAAAGGGATCATGACCCATGGGTTGAGAACTGCTGTCCTAGATGCTTCCCAACTGAATCAAGCTGCCAAAGGAGGTCAACCATTCCTCTTAGGGGACTTGAGTGGGACACAGTAACAATGACGGTCTTTCGAGGCTATACCATGGCTCTGGTCTGCAAATGACATTCCCTGTAGAAAGATTTGGTCTCTTTCCCTTGTTCCCTCAGGCCTTTGGAAGAAACCCTTTCCTTTTTCTGGAGTCTCTACCCGTGACTTCTATGTAGACGAGAACACAGTTGTGAAGGTACCCATGATGCTGCAAGACGAGCAGGAACACTGGTACATCGAGGACAGACGTGTACCCTGCACAGTGTTGCGCATGGATTACAAGGGTGATGCAGTGGCGTTCTTCATCCTCCCTAACCGAGGCAAGATGAACGAGGTGGAGCAGGTGCTGTCCCCAGGCATGCTAATAAGGTGGAATCGCTTGCTTCAGAACAGGTAATCAGGATGTCTCATGGTGTTCAATCATGGCGCCACTTGCACATGGATCCTTTCCAGGAAACCCAGTGGACAGAAATTAGAGTGACCACTACTCCTTGAAGGTGCCAGCCATGGTGCTGGGAGGTCCATGAGTCTGCTTGGACAGCAAACCCTCCCATGGTGGTTAGTACAAGGCCCCACTCTCATCAGAGAGAACCACTGTAGAGACAGGAGTCTTAGGTTCCTTTGTTGCACAGGTCTTAGATAGAACAACTTTGCCTCTGAGGGTCAAACCTTGTACAGAGAATATGGAGAAAACCTCCCCCAGACAGATGACTGTCTGACCTGATGTAGAGTGGTTAAGAAAATTCTAGCCACTCATCCAGTTCCATACACACTACACACTACACACACACACACACACACACACACAGAGAGAGAGAGAGAGAGAGAGAGAGAGAGAGAGAGAGAGAGAGAGAGAGAGAGATGGGAGGAACAGAGTCAGAGAAGCAGAGACAGAGAGACAGAAAGAGACTGAAACAGACAGAGAATCTAATGTGCCCCCTCCCCCCGCACTCCTGTGCCCCTTCAAGTACTTTTATAGAAATGTTTTGTTGTGGTTCTCCAAATTCTCAATTTCAAATTCCTATGTATTGCATAGGATTTTGCCAGACCTGGGTTTCCAGGACATGTTCATCTGGCAATGCTGACAGAGGTGCTTCTGGTAGTCAAACTCAGGTGAGGTAAAAGTAATTATTTCCTTCTGAGGAATCCTCACATCAGCTGGGGCTCCAGCTGTTTCAAGCTCTGAGCAGAAATGTTTTCAATCATAAAGAAGAAAAAGACCAGCCAGGAGCCTCACTCAGACAGGAGTTCGCATGAGCTTAGACAGGGAATCAAGCCATAAACAATCAGTCCAGAGCAGCTGCGATCCATGGGGCCCCACAGGAGGCAAAGGCTACATGGATGGTCTGACACCTGTCTCCCAGGCTATCTGTTCAGCTCCCCAGCCTCTGTGGAAAAAAAGAGCATCCAAGGGCAGTAAGTCCCCCAGATAGACTACAGGCAGCTAAGGGATGCTCGAAGATTCAGTCTTCCCCCGAGGAGGAACCCCTTCACTGGTTATACAACACCAAGTACTTAGCCCTAAAATCCTTTATGTGCAAGAGACACTCAGTGAAGGAGTTAGAGAAAGGAAAAAGACTGGGGTGAAATGGAGGCATTATATTTCAATAGAAAAGAATTCCCCCAATAGCTAAGCAGACACCTGGGGCTGGTATCTACTATTGGCATCTAGCTGAGGTGTTGCCTGACCCGAGTGTGCTTCTGGAAGCTAAACTGAAGTGAAGTAGAGGAAGTCACTTTCTTCTCAGGAAGGCTCAGACCAACCAGGGCCCAGTCTAATGTCTTGAGCTGGCTGAGCACTTACTTTGTAAGCACAAGGAGCCACAAGATTTGCACTACAGACCTCACCATTTTTTAAAGAGCCAGGTGTGGTGGTAGGTACCTGTAGTCCCAGGAGACAGGAGAATCCCTGGGGGTCTGCAGGCCAGCCAGTCTAACTCACTGAGCAAGTACTAGAACAACAAGAGACTCTTGCCCTGTGACTGCCACACACATGCACATATACAACCTGTACTTATGTACACACACACACACACACACACACACACACAGAATCTAACATGCCTCCTCCCTGTGCCTCTGCAGGTTCTTTTACAGAAAGCTCACACTGCAGTTCCCCAAATTCTCCATTTCAAATTCCTATGCACTGGATGAGATTTTGCCCGACTTGGGCTTCCAGGATCTGTTCACCCCGCACGCCAACTTCTCAAATATCAACAAAGGGGAGAAATTGCAATTATCCAAAGTAAGTAACAAAGGCTCCTTGACCCTATGGACCTCTGTGGGAGACTTCTGGCCCTCGGAAGGAGGTGGGCAGTAGATGTCCTCCCAGCTACCGTGGTCTCTGCGAGCATATACTCGGTCTTGCACAGGTATAAGCATCCACACAACCAGCCTGTCAGTCACTGGACACAGTCTCAGTGTTGAGATGATGTAGCTACGACCAGCCCATGTCCTCAGATGCCTCTGTGTTGGGCAAGGAGTCTGGTACCTGAGTGGGCCATAGCTATGCAAGGAGTCTGGTACCTGAGTGGGCCATAGGTATGCAGAATGAAGAATGCACTGTAGGAAAAGCAGAAGGAGGAGCTGAAGCTTGTATGGAAATACTCTCATGGAGAACCAAAGACCAGTGGCTTTAACTGTAGGGAGTAGAGATATCACTGGGTACATATGCCCTAAGAGAGGAGTATGAAAATCCTTCTCTTGCCCCCTATCTTAGGATACAGCCTGGTCTTTGATTTAATTGTCCTTATCCTTAAGGCAATCATAATGGAACTGACCTCCTAGGAGGTAACTCTAATACACAGACACACTGAGGGGCTCAGGAATGGCAACTATCATCATACATGTACATTTGGAGAGGCTGTAAAGCCTGTGATTTCTCTCTCAGGTTTTCCACAAGGCCACCCTGGACGTGAATGAAGTTGGCACAGAGGCTGCAGCATCCACTGGTTCCTTTGCCATCTTTCTTTCTGCCCGGCACAAGAAACGTCACCTTACTTTCAACCGGCCATTTTTGTTGGTGATATATTCCACTAGCACCCAGAATATCCTCTTCATGGGGAAGTTGGTCAACCCCACAGCATAGCAGACCTGGGACTGGCTGGTCTGTTGCCAGCAGGAATATGTGACTGGGGAGGGCTGGGTATGAGTAACTCTGCATCCATGACTTGGGGTGGGGAAGGGCCCCTGACTCCCAAGAATGGTACAGGAAGGCATGGGGCTAGATGGGCTGGAAAGTGGGAGAGACCCTCATGATTAAACCAAATGACAGCTCTGAGACCCCGATATGTGTGTGGTGCCTCTTACGTAGCAGACATTTACAGACACGTCCTTTGTCTGTACCTTCAGGCCTTACCCTGTTAGCAAACCTGGTCCCAAACATAGAATGGGAGGTTAAGTCCCACATGGCTGCCTAGGTATGCAGGGAAGGGAAGTTGGCTGGGAAGAATTAGTGTTTCATTCTGCAAGAGAAACTGAGAAAACTTTGATAAGGAGATGCCCAACACAAACAGCCTGAGCCATCTGGACACTAGCCTGGTGGCTTTCTTACATGTGCCTCACTGTGACAACGCCTACCAGAAGCAGCTTAAGCAAGGACATATTTACTTATGTTAGCTCACCATTGCAGAGGGTTTCTGTGTATCATGGCAGGGAAGACCTGGCAACAAGCTTGGTTCACGGTGTGGGTGGGAGGTAGTGGATGGAGGTGGTTGCTCATGACACTGTGGACCAGAAAACAGATTGTGAACTGAACCAGGGGTTCCATCCAGCCTTCAAAAGCCCACGCCAAGAGACTCACTTCAACAAACAAACCTGTTCTGTCAGAATCCACGGCCTTCTACATAGTGTTACTGGCTACAAAATGTGTTCAAAGCATAGCCTGTAGGGACATTTCAAATTTGTACCACAGTATCTAGTGAAGAAGGCTTAGAGAGGCACGCTGCCTATGGCCCAAGATGTGACTGATGCCACTCCCAGAATAAACAGATGTGGCCAACAGCATACTGCAGGAACAGGAGACCAGAACCAGGAAAAGTGACTTTTCATATATTGGCCCTGCTGATGTGATCTGGGACTTCAGGCAAGTCTCAGCCCTTCCTGGGGCTCAGTTTCTCCACCCAAGTAATATACCAACATGCCCTGGATCTAGCTCAGATCATTTCAGAATGCACAGTGAATTCTCCAAGGTGAGAACCCTTCTAGGATCTGGGAGAACAAAACCTTACCACCTTACCTGTGGAGAAGGCAGGCTGGCAGAGACTGGTTCTCTTTGCAGCAAACTTCTGGTTTCCAGCAGATGCCTTTTCTAGGCAACAGCATGTAGGCTTACAGGGGCTATTCAACATGCTCTCTGACTTCAACATGGAGTTTCAGGACACTGAGAGCTGGGAATAGGGCAGCCAAGAGGAACTCTTCCCCATTCTTTTCTAGATTCAGATCACTCTCTGCTTCAATGTCCAGACAAGAACTCCCATAATGCTTTGCCCTCACCTGCTCACCTTTTGTTTTGCTCCCACTAGTTGCACATTCAATATGATAAATCTGATTTTACTTTCTTTGGACCTTGGTACCCTCACCTATGAGGTGGGACAAGTTAAGGTGGCTCTGTTTCATGGAATCACACTTACTCTATGTGGGAAGGCTTAAAACGGGGCAATGCATACACCAGCCTTGTTACTCTTCCCTTGAAACTCACAATCCAGACACCCAGTGGTGCTTACATCATCTCTGAGTTTTGGTTTGTCCCTGTATGCATCTCAGGTTCTTCTTTTTTGAATACCCTTGCCATTCAGACATGGACACAGGATCCCAGTAGGAGGGCAGTTCTAAACCTGGGAACATTTTCTTGACCCTTCTTTTTTTTATTATCAGCCCTTAAAGTTCTCGACTGAGCTTCCAGAAGGTTCTAGATCAGCACTCAGCTCTACAGCACTCCCCTTTCTCTCTGTAGGTCAAGCTGAGACAGAACTCCTTACAGTTTGTTCTGGGTGGAAATGGGGGCTGGTACTCTATGACCAACTCAAGGAATTTTCCAGACTTCAAGATTGGAGGCTATTGACCATACCCACTCTGAGGTGCTTCTTGATGCCCAGAGTACATAGAGACAGTTCTGAAGTTTCAGTCTATGGCTGGAAAGCAGGACCCAGGCTCCCTGAGCCTTGTCTGTATCATACAAGAAGCCCCATGGCACAAAAACAGAGTTGTCACTGGAGAGCAAGCTACAGAGTACCCTCCATTGACATCAGTGGTGGTGTGAATGAAAATGGCTCCATAGGCTCATAAAGACTGGCGCTTTAGGGAGGTGTGGCCTTATTAGATTAGGTGTGACATTGTCCATGAAAATGTGTCACTGGGGGTGGGTTTTGAGGTCTCAGAAGCTCAAGCCAGGCCTAGTGTGTCTCATTCTCTTCCCGTGGCCTGTCAATCTGGATGTAGAACTCCCAACTCTTTCTCCGTGATCATATATCTACCTGCATGCTTCCATGCTTCCCGTCTTGACGATAATGGACTAAATCTGCACATTGTAAGGCAGCCCCAATTAAATGTTTTCCTCTATAAGAGTTGCTGTGGTCATAGTGTCTCTTCACAGCAATAAAATCCTAAGATAGCACCCACTCAACAATCAGAGTATATCAAGGACTTTTTGACATAGCCATGGTCCTAGCAAAGTCACAAGCCCAGAAACAGGCTGATTGCCAGGAAACCAAGATAGAGAGAAAGCAGTAGCCCCCTCAGCTCACTACAGAGGGTCCAGGGAGGTAGGGAGGCAGGGGACCAAGGAGGATGCCCTCAACTAGACCCTCTAAAACATATTCGAATAGTACCCAAGTCACCCTTAGGGGAACACGGACAGAGAAGGGTCTCATAGGCAGTTAGCACTGAGAGAGATAATACTGGGGCTCAATGCCCCTCCTCTAGGTTACATTCACAGCACATATAAGTGCTTAGAATTCCAGAGGCCTGCAGATCACAGAACTGCATGGCTAAGCTTGGGTTCACTTCCTCTCTGCAGGCTGACAAGTTAGATTCTGGTTTTCAACATCCCTGTGAGAGATGAAGTTAGCCCCGAGCTGACTCATGCCCTCTTAAGTGGGTGAGTGGAAAGAAGGCAAGCCATGAGCAGTATATTCTTGCTGTGGTAATGAGCCTGCGGGAACGGTATATGAATGTGTGAGACCCTGGTGTGATAATGGAGAGGGTGACACCTCAGTCTCAAGTCAACATGGAGCAAGTCAGCAGGAGATTGATGTCTCCTTATGCTGATGTCGTGCTCTTTCCTCTGTAAGACACTCAGTGGCTTCCTATTGTATACAAGATGAAATTCAAAATCCCCTACTAATAGTCACGGCTTTCTCATTTAATGCTCACTGCCTTGCCTGTCCTATGTCATGTGGTTTTAAGTAACTCTCTTTTTCATTGCTATTACAGCTCCTCATCTCCAAGCCTCTTTCTGGTGGGTTCTTATCTGAGAGTCCACATGCTACCAAGGTTATCCACAAACTCCTCTACCTCTACCTCCTCCAGCCAGACTGCTATCCTGTTATCATGCATGGCTAGCCTGAGTGTCACTCTGTCCCCACCTCACTCTAGTTGCCTATCTATCAGCTTAGAGGTAGAGCCTTTCTTACTCCAGAATTCCCAAGTAAACTGTAGAGCATAGGCCCAGCCAGTAAACATATATATATATCAAATGGAAGCTTAGAGAGTTATGTTTGCATCACTGTCCTTTGGACTAAGACTGGACAAATATTGAGTTTAGTCGCTCAGGTTTCAAAATGCCCTTTGCTTTGGAGCATTGGAAAAAGTATGGAGTATATCAAAGACTCCATGAAAGAGAGGCTAGCAGGCTACTGATTCTTGTTATGTTCTGGAGGCTCAAGGCCTGAACTCTGGCCATGGTGATGCATGCTTGTAGTGCCAGCTCTATGGAGTCAGAGACAGGTGGGTCACTGGGACTCACTGGTCAGTCAGCCTAGCTTATTTGGTGAGCTCCTAGCCAGTGAGAAACTCTGTCTCAGAGGAGTAGAGTAGATGGCGCCTGAAGATGTCCTCTGGCTGAACACACTCACAAGTACATGCAGCCAACGCACACAACATGCGCACAATACAACCGCATACACACAAGCGACACACATACACGCATGGAGGGAGGGAAGTGGGATAGGGATGGAGGATAGGTGCGGGGAGGAGAGAGCAGCTGTGTTGGATTAAAGAACCATCCTGGTTCAGTGTGACCTTTTTTTAAAAAACTAATTACATCTGTAGTAAGGACCGTATTAGCAAATGAAGCTACCTGATGCCCTTGGGGATTGACAAGTAAACATTTGACCTAGAAGAGGGGATCACTCAGCCTTGACATTAAAGAGAGAGAGAGAGAGAGAGAGAGAGAGAGAGAGAGAGAGAGAGAGAGAGAGAGAGAAGTGCCCTGAAGCTACGCAGGTGCTCACGGGGCTGCTGTCTATGTTGATCATCTCTTCTTCGTCATACCTGACCCATATTGGGATTCGCCAGCTTCACCTTCTGCCAGCAATTATGAGTTCCTGGCATGGGGGCCTTGGAAATGTCACAAAGCCTGAGCCAGTACTAGGTCTAGGAAACCTTCTACAATGTTGGGAAGAGGGAGGGAGGGAGGGAGGGAGGGAGGGAGGGAGCAAGCCATGGTTTAAAATGAGAAAAAGGCAACCTCTACAAAGTCCTGGGTGCAACTCCATAATAAGCAAAGAGCACTGTCAACTAGTCAGACACTGGGACGTAACCTGACGCCTAATCTAGAACATTCTCTTCTGCCTTCTGGGCATCATTTGGGTGCTTAGGACATACAAAGTAGACACAATGACCCATTTGTCTCTGTCCTTGCAAGGCTTTCTCATTGCAACCATTATCAGACCGATGGGATTGTCATCTAGCAAGCACACTAGCCTGAGCGAAGTGCTTCAAAGCCCTTTGTCCTGGCTCCATGAGATACTGGCTGCAGAAACACTGAAGGAGTTGAGTCTGGAGAAGGGATGGTGTTGCGGTGCTCCCTGCCTCTGTAAGGTCAGTCTGCAGTAGCCTGGCACTCCTATTTCCTGGACTGCTCACAAAGCCTGGCGATGGTGACTGAAGTGTGCTTGCAGTGTCTGGGTAACCTGATGAGGGCCTCTGTCCTGGGCCACTTTATTTGAAACTGGCCTATTGTCTAGAAGCCTTCTAGGATAAGACGATGAAGGCTGGAGTTGTGATCTGGGCCAGTAGGCCATTCGTCAATGACAGGGCTCTTGGAGAGAGGAGCCAGGAGATAAAGC